TGCTCTGATATCTGGCAAATTTGTGTTATCTTTTATGTTGAGGGAGTATTTGTTTACTAATAAATAACTTTATAGAATCTAATCTAACTACATCTTATAAGTTTATAAAATATTTAAAGATCGCATAACAATTTTTACATAAGATGTATATAGATAAAGAATCGGCTTTGAAAAATACCCATAGAGCACCAAAAATTCAATAATAATAACATCTAATTGAAAAAATCTAAACAAGTGCGTCCTTTAATATAACAGGTAACATTATAATAGCAATAGATACCTTCTAGTCTACCAGGTTTCCATCGATGTCTAATGGATCATCATTTTCATCATTTTCATTTCATCATTTTCAAAATTCTGAAATTTTGAAAATCTGTCCCATATTGATGGAGATATCGCGTAACAAACATACAAAAAAAAAACAGTCGAATTGAGAACCTCCTCTTTTGTGTTTTTGAAGTCGGTTTAAAAAGAGTATAGTTTGTTTTGGCCGTTTCTTACCCGAGGCGTTGTATTAATAAAGCCAACAAAAATCTTTGTAAATTACAATATCGTTTACTTTATAAATATGAACGTTATCATAATGCAAGGGCATAACGCTAATGCCAGTAGCAGTACGTAATTAAACCTTTTTAATCTAATTTCAAGCTATATTACTATATAATTATCGTTATACAAGACTACACGTTTCGTTTAATTAACCAGATCTGAAATTCATGTAATATAATTCATGGTTCCTTTTTAATTTCAACATTATTTTGCCTTGCTCCCCTAATTAACACCAGATCAAAAACGTTACCTTCTAGTTCTATATGTGTAGTGCAAAATTTAGAACAAGAAATAATTGGTTATAAAATGTAATATACCACGAATGCAGATAGCAGAGGATTTGACATAGATTTAGCGTACATCATCCCCTACTTTTACCTGTCGAGGCATAGCCGTCTAGCGTAGAGCGCTTGCATTGACAATATTGGGTCGGCTTGACCCGAGTGGTATTAAGACCTTAAAACTAGTTTTAAGCAATTAAATTTTACACACATATATATATATATATATATATATATAATAGATAAATATATCATTATGTACAGAACTACAAAAGGCGTGTTTATTCAATATTACAGCTTTCTTTACTTCTTCTATGTATACTCGTATACTTTAAGTATTAGAAAATTTCCCATATCCATTTGGTGACGGAATAAGAATACAGAGTGTCACCACCCCTATTCATCCCGTGGGTGTCGTAAGAGCCGACTAAGAGAGTAAGCTACGCAGGTCAACAGCACTGCAAAGAGAAGGATAACTTGAAACAAACCCTATGCCAACCCTTCTTGCCAGCGTGGTATAGTAGGCCAATACCGCCTTTCTAAGGAGAGGCCTATGTCCAGCAGTGGACTAGTAGAGGCTGTTGATGATGATGATGAACTTTCACGTTCTTCACGAAATGTTCTTAATAGTGTTTTCCTAAATCTCTATAATGTTGTTCATGTCTTTGTTAGCTTAAGAATCACTAAACTATTATATTTGTATTGTTTTATCATGTCAACTACACACAGTAAATCCGATTTTACCACCAATGTAAATGCTCTGTTAACACTTTGTGTTCAGTGACATGGTTTATGACAGCCACGATTAGTAATTATCTTACTAAAGGGTATCTTACTCTATTCCTAAGGGGTTTTACAGAGTTATTTATCGAAAGACTAAGGCATCTTAGTCTTCCGATAAATAACTCTGTTCTATTCTGTGCAGACACACTACAAATTCCAGTGAAACCTTTGTCAGTGAAGCTCTACAATATTATGTGCGTGACTTATAATAAGTAGGTAATGTTTTCATTATTTAAAGTTCGAGTGTAAAATTCTTTAAACGAGGCATCACATCAGAAAGCTAACACTGCTCGGTTAACCAGTCAATATAAATATTAACCACTCATCCTAAAACAATATGTAACTACAACCAATGTTTAAGTAAAAAAATATATTTAAAGTAAACGACGGCAATGAACTGACAGGAAAATTAGTTAAAATGCATCAAATATTTAGTAGCCATAATATAAATACACTGCATTTAGGAGGCCTTATGTGCTGGTGTATCTTTACTAAACATTGAAAAACACGAGATGCTAGTGCGCTTTTTACTCGAAAAGTATCAATCTGTTAAAATTTTGCGTTTTTATTTGTATCTATTTTAGTAATTATTTACCTGAGTACGAGCATGTGTGTGTCTGTGTTTTGTAATAAAAGAACGGAGTCCAAATCAGTAACCGACAAACTTCATTTTAACATGTGTTTAATAACTTTACCTATAACTAACTAAACCAACTTACTGAAAAGTTACTAATAAACTCCTTGAGTTCTTTTTATACGTTTTAAATTAAGATTTATTTCAAGAGTCAAGAGCCGAAAAAACAAAAAAAATACCGGTCAGGTACGAGTCGAACTCGTGCGCCGAGGGTTCCGTACCTACCCAGATTTTACGTAGATGTTCGCGAAAATTTGTAAGTACCAAAAATTTATCATAATTTTCAACTTCTTTTATTTTTTGGAAATATTACTTTATTTGTGCTGTAAGACGTTTCTTTTTGCCAAATTTCGTGGTTCTAGGTCAACGGGAACTACCATATAGGTTTTCGACCCACGTTTGGCTCTGCATCGGCTAAGGTGCATAAAGATTTAAATAAATAAATAAACCTATAGGGTACTTCCGGTTGACCTAGAATTGTCAATTTTGGTTAAAAGCAAGGTCTTACAGCACAAGTAAAGAGAAAATTCTGAAAAATAAAAAGTTGAAAATTAAGGTAAATTTTGGTACTTACAAGTTTTAGCGAAAATCGAAAATTTGCCCATATCTTTTTGTCGTGTTGACTCAGGACCTTGATTTTTATACACCTAATAGGGACCATAGACCTCAGTATCTGGTATAACTTTCAACTTCAATTGTCACCACCGATTTTCTCAGGAACAGGTAGACCTACTACCTGTTCCTGAGAAAATCGGTGGTGACACACGGACCGACAGACAGACGGACAAGAAAGTGCTCTTATAAGGGTTCCTTTTTTACCTTTTGAGGTATGGAACCCTAAAAAGACAGAACTATGTTATTTTATAAAAGATATTTTTTTTTTCTCTCTTTATGCATTACCACTCGTCGGAACGATAGACAACTTTTGCCCTAAAAATGAAAAGTTTCGTTACAGTATAAAGTTTTTATATTATCTTCGGGATGACATTAAAAGTCACGTCTTTGATTTCCAGCCACCTTGTTTGGTGATAATCTTCCCACCAAGCGGAGTGTCTGGTAGAAAGATTTTGAAGTTTATTGTACTAAAAACCTGCAATTTTCACACCTCAGGTCTGATAAATAGAAAAACAAAAAAAAATAGTTAAAAAGACTGGAATACCAAACTAAACTGAAAACTAGAAGAGAAAATACTTTATTTTTGACTACTTATAGAGATGGAAGTTGTCATAATGAGTTCATATCTATACAAATAAATAAAATTGGAGTGTCTGTTTGTAATATTAAAATTACCGCTTTTTACTAAATGCATAATATGTATGTTTACACGGTACATTATGCCAGAATAACATTTTTTTCAATATTTGTCTGTCTGTCTGTTTGTTCCGGGTAATCTCTGAAACGGCTGGACCGATTTCGACGGGACTTTCACTGCCAGATAGCTGATGACTAAGGAGTAACTTAGGCTACTTTTTTTAGACTAGCTTCGCCCCGCAGCGTTGCGCGCGGTTATAACATCAAACGCGGGTAACACCGCGGGTCTCAGCTAGTATTTACATAAAACACATTATATTTGAGCTATATGATGGCTCCTTTGTTGACAAGAATATCACTCTTATTGCAAACGAGTATAAGATTGGTGTGCTTTGGACAGAGTTTTTACAAATAAACATAGACACTGTCATAAAACAGTTATACCTAAACTGTACAATAGATGCCATATTGCAATACACAATGTCGTAACTGTATTCAAACAAAGATGATCACTGACTGCACAAGGGTATTTTCTTATAGAGAATAATCAGGTCAAAACCAATGAAATAAAACAAGATTTTTTTTATAACCTTATCCTCTGAAGAAGGCAAGATTAAAATCCTTATGACAAAATTTCATTGACAATATTATAATTCAGCATCTTGGAACCCTGAAGTTGAAGCCAGAAGGTGGGTGGAGGAACTCTTTAGTGGCCCCTTGAGTAAGGGCTCAGGGGCATGAATCCAATAGATTTCGCGTGTCGTTTCGTCATCAAAGTACTTTTTTTAGTTTTGGTCTAATTTTTTAATAAAAGAAAGTTTTAAAAGAAATAACTTTTTGTATCTATATTCAATAAATATACGTATATATTCATAAAGAATCAATCGGAATACCTGTATGGAGTGTTTCAGGGTGAACATGTACTAGATATTACAAGTTGCTTCAAAATGTACGTGCTCCTGTCTGCAGACGTGAGATACTCTGTTTATTATTATATGGCCTACTTAGACTTAAGGGATCAATTGCCAGGTTCCTTTCCGCGTACTAACAAACTTTAAATGAGGAACTTCTGTGAAAAGGCCTCTTGTGGTGGGTGAATTATACATATTGTCAGCGTAGTTCTAACAATGCATAAGTCAAAATTTTCTACTTTACAGGAAAGCAAAATAACTGTGCCCCCGAAGATGGATCAAAATGATGTGTCAGTTCTTTACAATCAGCGAAAACTGTTGCTTGTAACATTTTTTAAAGAAAAAAATGGAGCTTTTTATTCTGTCTCAGCTGGTTTTTCTATATGTTCTATAGTTTCAACTAATCCCACGGGACTCCAGGTCACGAAATCATTAGCAAATTTTGCTGTGTGCTGTGTAGGCCCTGTATTTTCGGTAAGCCTTTTTGGCTGATTGAAAAAACAGCACTTTATTTTTTCGTCGTATAAATACATCAATGAAATGAATTAAGCACTGTTAGAACCTTCCAGACGACAAATTAGACTAACTTACCAACTGTCATGAATAGGAGTTTGCAGCCATGTTCCAGGTTGTACTTGGACGGTTCGGTGTCGTGGAGCCGATGGTATATGATGTCGTAGCCGTCACATGACTTGCCTGGAAGCACGGCGAATTCCCTGGAAACAATAAATAAAAATTATAATCCGCACCATCCCAACAATTTAGACTTTATTAGTGTCATGTTTTGATAGTCCAGATTGTAGGATTCTAGGTAGGTGGTTGCATAAATTACATGTTCTTTCACTATAAAAGAACATGGGGATTACTAAACATTTAATTAAGTCCTTTACTTTACATTACTTTACATAGTATAAAATAAAGTCGCTTTTTCGTGTTGTACGCTTAGATCTTTAAAACTTAGCAACGGATTTTAATGCAGGTTTCACCAATAGAGAGAGTGATTTAAGAGGAAGGTTAATATGTATAGTACATGTATATTATAGTATAGAGATTTCTAGAATTTAAAACATTTGTCGTAAAAGATATGTTTTTGTGCGCTTACATTGCAAATGCTGGCTAACCCTTACGAGATAGACCAAAATAATGTACTACGGAATTGTATATCTTAAAAAGATCTACAAAAAAATCGGTATATACCTATCTATCTCCCAATTATTTAAGGGTTTATAATAAGGGTATAAAAATACGTTAGAAACGTTGTCCTTTTAATATAAATTTTACAACATATTACATTAAAATGAATAATTTAAAAGACAGAGGTTTAAAATGCGGGGGGCCCAATAACGGTCGAGCCGTACGTCTGTCCCGGGTGACAGAGGCTGATAGGTTCAGAAGGGGCCTATCAATATTGCATTTAAATATGTCCTGTAGTATAGTCCTATCATAATCCTATCATTAGTAGTATTAGTAGTATCTACATTGCACCCGCGCGAACCCGGGTCGGATCGCTTGTTACTCATAAAACAGATTTGCGCTTCATAATCCTCCTACAGGGGATAAAGCGCGTATTTTCTTGGATGTCCGATATAGTGCCGGTAAAAGGCTAAAGCGATCAGACGGCACGGTTCAATAACTTTTTATTCAGGCACGGCTTCAACTCAGCCTTTATTATTTAATTAAGAGGTCTTTAATGTACTCAAGATATCAGCTCATTACATATTTAAGGATAATGCCAATAAAATTAATCCTTTAACACATCGCTTTTAGACCTAAACTAAATGTTCACTACTTCTACATAGAAAACCAATACTAATGGGTGTAGTTTTATATGTATATATTAGTACTGAATGGCTACGAGAACTTGTGCACAGATACCGGTTTATTACATTTTTAGAATAGATTCGACGGTACGTGCAATAGGCACGGGAGTTTTTAGTAAACGATGACGATCGAAGTGTTAATAATGTATTAATACAAAGTGCTAATATAATTCATTCTGCCTGTTGTTCAGGCTCCATAATATGCTTACTATAGCTATTGTTCTATATTGGTGAAGTTTCATTGTACACAGAACAATCACGGAGTTTAATATTGCTTAATCACCATTTTAGCGAATGGCTCACCATTATCATGTACCTGACGGCATTTTTCTAAACTATTTAATAAAAGGGGGGTCATGTTTTGTTGTAAATTTGTTTGTAAATGAGTCTCCTAATCGGGTAATGGTTACCGACTATTACTTTTGATCTGGATTTCTGTATAAACAGAAAAGAGCTTTATTATTCACACACACAAATCAACAGCTTTTAATAGTTCACTGCTGGACATAGGCCCCTATTTAGAAAAGGTGTTTAGAGAGGAGAGGCTTTATTATTATTTTGACATAATTATACCAGACGGAGAATAGAATACGAGCAAGTGGCGTTAGAAGGAATATAAATAATTTAAACCACTTCAGACTCAGACTATAAGACAATATCATAATCCATCATCACAAGTAACTCAGTTAACAATGTTAAAGTTATTTATAGTATATTTGCATTAAGTTGGACTATCGGTTATGTAAATTCACGGTAAACATTGTTGTATACAAGTACATAATAATGTTGTGCTGTGAAACCTAGTAGAGAGCTTTATTTCGCGTTTTTTACTTATTTATTTTCTATGAATAATGTATATGTATGATGCATCAAAAAATCCCAATAAAAATACAAATAAAGAAACGAACGTCTCACGTTTTGCATTTATATGTTAATATTAATTATAGTTACAAAGAGAGGGTTTTCTTTTTTGCTAACCTTGTGCAGTCCTCCATTTACATATTTCTGATTTAAGATATTCATAATTAATATTATTTAACGGGAATTAACGCGATCTCTTATTTAGGGTATTACGGCCACGGCCGGTGCAACCTGGCCGAAACGTCAGGCAAACCAGAGGTATGTAATACCCTAAATAAGAGATCGCGTTAATTCCCGTTAAATAATATTAATTATCATGGAACGCGAAAGTTTAAAAGTAAGATATTCATTTCTCAAAAGAATACAAATCACTTAGAGAAATACAAATGATGAACTTAGTTGCAAACTTATAATCTACGAGCGTATTTGACGGTGTTTGGTACATTGTACTCGATTACCTACACAAGTAAAATGTGTTGCAATGTGTGCACATATTTTTAGAATTATTTCGCTAAAAGCGAGTTAGTTTCAGTACTAGGAAATAATCAATTTTGTAAAGTAACTTCAAGTAGGGAGTCAATAATTAAAATGTTTTAATTTAGGAACATAATATAAAATGGTAAAACTAAGATAAGACGTGTTTCGCTAAGCATAAGGTACATTTTAGACTGGAGGTTTTTTCTATGGTATAGGAGGCAAACGAGCATAAGGGTCTTCTACTGGTAAGTGATTACTGTCGCCCATGGACACCTGGAACTCAAGAGTTATAAGTGGGTTGGCGCCCTTTCAGTTCTCAGAATGAAGGGTAAGGGGAGGGTTTCGGAGCTGATAACAATCAATCCAGCAAGTACCATCGCTGTGTATGAAAAGTGTTCGTAAAAACGCGTATAAGCTACCGCAGCGCCACCCTTATACGCGTCTAAGATACGCGCCTAAGATACATTTTTATTGGCTTAAATAATAGACACTGTGTACTTACTAGACTGCGAAAATAGTCAATGAGTTTTACAGACAATAAATCAACGTGTAATAAATTTCTAACTTAAAAGTATTATTATATTTTAACTCAGCGTAGTGTTACACTCCGTCTACAACAGCTATGTTCATATCGTAGTTTTCGTACCTTTTTTTTCTTTTTTACGTGTGGAAACCCCCTCGGGCCGTCACCCCACCGAGGTTTGCGGCGGGGTGGTGTGTCGGAATCGGACCGACTAAAACCACACTGTGTGCCATTCTGCGCATGTAATAGGAGGGATCCGGGAACTGCTGTTATTAAGACATCCGGATCCCTCCTAGCGCCTGCCCGCAATTGTGAGGGCACCACCTTTGGGTATATTCTCTCTTTAGGTGACATCCGGCACACGCGGACGTCATCTCCTCGCGGCTGGCCATTACGGCGGGTGGAGGGAAAACCCGTCCCGTCCACACGCAGTCACACTCAGGGCGGCATGAGGCGCTGGTAAGCGCGCCTCCGCCGCCCGGTTCGCCGGCGGAGAACTGGGTCCGAGTGGAGGTCATCCTCCCGGGCCCTCTCTGCCGCCTCCTTCTGCGAGATGATGTCTTCACAGAAGGATGCGACCGCGGTAAAACATCTGTCACTACCTGTCATGGAGCGTATGACGGCCGGTAGCGAGAGGTCCCCTCCGATGACTGCAATGAGGACCCGGCGCTGCGACGCCCAAGCCGGGCAAATTGCCAGCGTGTGCTGGGCCAAGTCCTCACTGCAATCGCAGTGGTGGCAGGCGGGACTCAATTCCCTACTAGCGACCGAGTGCAGGTACTTCCCGAAGCAGCCGTGCCGGAAAGGACCTGCGTCAGTCGGCAGGCAAAGCCAGCACGTGGAACCTCCAGCCGGGACGACCAACGAGTCATCGTGGTTCGGCGAGCGGCCTCACGCCACTCGCGTATCTCTTCGGGCGGGGGCCGACTGCCATTGCCCGCCCGGAAATCAGCCGTCGGCCGATATACTTCGGCGAGCACTTCCGTCCGGTTTTAGTCGGTCCGAGTCCGACATGCCACCGATAGGTGGTATCCGAGGGGATTGCCGCACGGAAAAAAAAGGGGGAGTTCCGGCCAACGCACAAGCCACCCCCGTCGAAACGGTGCGGTTACCGCGTATGGCTCTAACCGCCAATATCATCTGAGGGCGCCAGAGGCGTACCCTATTCTGGGCGGTCAGAGCCGCCGCCGATACCGGTGCACCGTACAACCCCCGTGTACAATCGTCTTGTCGCGACGCTGGGTCCACCCAAATTGGGTAAAAGTCGCCCTAGGGCTGACGCAGCGCCAACCAGCTTTGGAAAATGCTGTCGGAAGTACTCGTCGAAGAGCCACCTCCCGGTAAGGATCAGACCCAGATACTTCATCTAGGTACCGGTACGACCGGTACGAGGTACCGGTACGAGGACCGAGTTGACCACGATTGAGGCGCCAGAGGGTGGACAACGACGGGGCCCATGGAATAAGAGGGCCTCCATCTTATCCAAGGCCACCCGTAAGCCCAGCACCTCAATGCGCCCGACCACCAGAGAGACTCCCCTGGTGGGCAGGCGTGCCGCCTCTTGAGTTCGTCCCCCGGGCCGTGACCAATGTGTCATCGGCGTAACAAATTACACCCAGCCCGGGGGGAAAATCAGCTCGAAGGGCAAAGTCGTACCCTATAGTCCATAGGAGGGGTCCAAGAAGAGACCCCTGAGGAACACCGCACGACATGGGCCGATTCTTCAGGTTACCATCTCGGTAGTTTTCGTACCTACGCCAGCGACCTCTATTTTCAGTTGGGCACTTTTACAACTTTCCCCCTTATGAGATGGTTCTCCTTGCCTCTACACTACATAGTAAAAAGGAATGAAAGGACTCCTTAACACCGTTTTCTGTGAAGCCGTGGTATCACTGGAGTCCGTGTGGTGACGGATTAAGAATACAGAGTGTCACCACCCCTATTCATCCCGTGGGTGTCGTAAGAGGCGACTAAGGGAGCAAATTACGCAGGACAACAGCACTGCAGAGAGAATGAAAACTTGACACAAGCCCTA